GCAATGCACCGATGTGGTCTGGTTAGAAGAGCGCGGTAGAGCATCCAATCCTGTATGTTTAAAAACAAAGTGGGTATGGGCATATTTTACAGACTGTCTCCCAAACTGTGTGTAAGACACCGGTAACAATGGTTGTCTCTGGGGGAGAAAACTGATGCATTTGAGGCTAGATATGAAAGATCTGCTTTTTCGTATTTTCTGAAAAAAGTTTTAATCATACGCATGTATCACTTGTAAATTGTTTTAAAACAGCCCTGTCTTAGAGGCGCCCATTTTATCAGGCCCACGGATTCCGGTGTCCTGTGAGAAAGACAGCAGTGGACTCGAGGAAACAGGAACGCTGATACAAAAGCACTGCACATGCTCTCCAGCTGCGTATTTCAATCATCTAGTGACAAGAGAAGTAATGAAGGGGAATGAAACAGCTCTTTAGAGAAAAAAACTTATTTAAAGGTACTGAGGTTGAAAAAAAAAAAAAAAACCAAAAAGCCAAAAAGTAACACCAGCCGTTTTCAAGTCTATGAGAAGCTATGAAGATGGGAACAGCTGCTTCTTCAGCACCGCAGAGGGTCAAACACCAGAGATGGTCTCAGACGGCAGGAAGAACCTGGTTAAGCATGAGGAAAAAGATCAATACTGAATGATTACTACACAAAAGTATATCAGCTGCATGTAGACACGGAAAAATGAGGTAAAGAAATAATCTCCTTTAACTAATAACCAAACATCATTAAATCCAACCTGTTCATTTCACAAAATAAGAAATTTAGGCCTGTAAGGTTAGGGACTTGCCAAAAGTTACAAGACTAGTAGATGGGACTTAAATACCAGTTCCAATCCCAGATGAATCAGATGGTTGAAGGCATGGAGACAGGAGCTGGCTCAGATGACACACTGAGGTCCCAGTGGACCTGCTCATGCACTATGACCTACCCATTCACTCAATAAAGAGTAAGTCGAAAATGCTGGCTTAATCCAATTATGCTGGACACATTTTAGCTTTTCTTGCAATCTCCTCAATTTTCAGAAAAATATCAACCATGCATAAATTTAATCTTGCACTATTTAATGCTGCAATCTTTGATATACTTCAAGAAGTATAAAAATCACTACATTACCATGAAATTTGGAATTCTTTCATCTTTCTTAAAAAATTGAAATACTGTTCATAAGTATTTGACCTAAAAAGGTCCAACTGTCTAAAGTAGAAAGGGACTGACTTTAGTTTGGAAATAATCTTTTTTCTTAATACTGTCGCTACAACTGACTTTGCTTAAATTGTGTTGCGATCTTTAAAAAAGGAGGTGGCAACAGCTCATGCTAAATTACATTCTGAAACTCAGTGACAGACTACCACCCATCAATAATCAATTTTGATCTGATTCTTTGAATTCTTGCTAATCTTGGACTTGGGAAACAATCACACTGAGTCCAAGGTGGCCAAGCCCAGGAAGCTCCCAGTGTGGACTTCCACAAGATATCACACAGTCTGCCCTCAAAGGTTTCACAACGTCCTTTGAATCTCATTGCAGCGTTCAACAATTTCACCAAGAAGAATTTCTTCCCTCTAAATCTGAATCTCTTCTGGTAAATCAGACTGGTTGACTGGTGGTTCGTTTGAGAGATTAAAATAAAAGTATCACTACCTTTCTGATCAATACGTTGCAGCATTTAGAAATTATAGTGATGAGCACTAAGAAAACTAAGTAACTTTTAAAAACTGAAGCAATTATTAATTCTAAGAAAAATGTAGAAGAAAGGAAATGTAATCCCAGACTATGTCTTCAGAGCTCAGCTCTGAACAATACATATATAACCTTCATAAGGCAAACACTGTCCACAGATCCCATCAAAACTATGTGGGGAGAAAGCAGGGATGGTGCTGGGAGTTAAATATTGAATTAACACAACCATGTTAATAGATAAAACTGCAGTATGTACAATATATTTAGAACTATAACCAGAAGAAAGAGCTGAAAGAACTGTGTCACTGGAAGGAGGGAAGGAGATGGAAAGGGAATTAACTTTCAGATAGAAACTTTTTAGAACTCTTTGCAAGTACAATATTTTTAGAAAATAATACAGCAATCTTCAAAGTAGGCACTACTCTCCTCATTTCACAGACGAGAAAAACAAGGCTCAGAGGGGTGACACTGCCCACGGCTGCAAAGGTAGGCAGTGGTGGAGCAGAGAATTTTTCCATGATTCCAACAGTCAACGCTCTTCCCGGCCCCAGGCCATCGCAGGGTTACTCCCTCGGCCAAGAGGGCTCCCCGTCTGCCTTCCTCCACAGAAGCTCAGGTCCAGGACACTGCCTGGCTCACAGGAAAAGGCCAGGGTAAACGATTTACTAAGGAATGAGTCAGACAACAGACAGACAGGCAAATAAAGGAAAGGGCCCAGGTCTGCAGGACTCCTTTACTGGCCCTCTGGACCAAGCTGTAAAAGCATCTCAATGAGTGGGGTTAACAAGATGAAAGAGAAAAAGGCTAAAACGCCCAGCACTTAAAGAGTTGCAGAAACCCAAGGACACAACGAGATTTCAATTTTGCCCTAACAACAGTCCATGTGGAAAAGGCAGGATTTAACTGACCACAAACACAACGTAAGTTCAGCAAGGGATGGCTTCTTTCCTTTCTGGGGACTGACTCAAGAGGGGGGCCCATGCTGTCTTGGTGGTGGGAACAAAGGCCTTCTACCCAGACAGCTGAGGTCCCAGCCCTGCCACTGCTTGGCTGTGTAATCTTGAGCAAGTCACTTCGCCTCTCAGAGACTCAGTTCATCATCTATAAAATGGGAATAATAACTCCCTCATAAAAACTGGGGTGAGGGTTAACCAAGACACCATCACAAGCATGCTACAGAATAATTACTCAGTAAATGTTCTTGTTGGGTGCCGTCGAGTCACGTGACAGAGGAGAACTGCCCCACAGGGTTTTCTTGGCTATAGTAATCTTTATGGAAACAGATTGCCAGGGCTTTCTCCCGTGGAGCCACTGGGTAGATTCAAACCACCAACCTTTCTGTTACCAGCTGAGCACTTAACCATTGCTCCACCAGGGTTCTTTACTCAACAAATGGTAGCTATTACTTTTTAAAGTCTTGAGCTAGAACAACTGCTATCAAAAACTTTTGAAAAATACTCTTTAGATTTTACACATTTCCATTATAAAGACTGTGCCTCTTTTACTTACATTTTAGAACCTACATAAACTCTGCTAACATTACATCTTCAGAGAAAAGGTAATACATTAATGAATCTCACCGCTGCTGATGGCAGTCTTGAACGCCAAAATGGAAGTTGTTGGAAAAGTGTTTAGGAAAAGCTGCCTGGCCCATAAATGACCTGTAAATTAAAAAAAAAAAGGAACATTTTACACAGGAGTACCCAAAGAATATTAATGTTTAAAGAACCAAGGCAAGTGAATAATTTCTGGGCTTCAAGACCACTTGCTCAACGAGCTGACATCACATTTCATCTTCTCCCTTCACCTCTCCATCCAACCTGTCACCCCCACATCCAACCAGTCACCAAGCCTGTACATTCTCCTCAAAACTTAGCCCACCTGTCAGCCACACCCACTCCTCTGGTCTCACTGCCTCACCTTTATTCAGGCCTCATCCTCACTTTGTCTCATGACAACAAAGGCCTTGTAGCGGGTCTCGCTGCTTCCAGTCCCTCCCCCTCTAATTCACCACCTGCCATCAGGCAGACCTTTCAAAAACAGGTCTGGTCACCTCACGGCCTTGATACACTATCCTTTGGCTCCCTACTGCCTGTGGCACAAAGTCAGAACACCTCAGCACAGCCTACAGGGCTGCTCTGTGGCCCTGCATTCCACATCAGCCTTAATCTCCACCACTCTCCTCATCCTCCCTCCCCCTGGCCGAGCAGTGGTGCTGACCACTCTGCTCCTTCACACCTTCCGTGTCTCTGATATGTCCTCCTCATTTGTCTGAAGCATCATCTCCCTGATGAAGCCTCCCTGATTTCTGCAGCGCTCCCTCGGCACCCTGCTCCCTTCTTCCCTCTGGAGCTCCTGCAGTGCTGGGCTGTAACTACAGTGCAGTGCTTAAAACAGGCTCTGTACCCCACTTTTACGGCCCCTTGATTTTGGACAAGGGTGCCTAGACAATTCAATGGGGAAAGAATAGTCTTTTCAACAAATGGTGCTGAGACAACTGGATATCCACATGCAAAAGAAAGAAGGTGGACCCCTACCTCACACCATACACAAAAATTAACTCAATATGGATTAAAGACCTAAACGTAAGAGCTAGGACTATAACCCTTTGAAGACAACATGGGGGCAAATCTTTGTGAACCTGGATTTGGAATGAAGTACTGATATACGCTACCACATGACTGAACCTTGAAAACATTTCACTAAATGACAGAAGTTAGTCACAAGAGACCACATATTATATGATTCCACTTATATGCACGAACCTATAGAAAGTAGATTACTGGCTGCCTGGGACTTGAAGGGTTAAAGAGTATGAGGCTTCTTTTTGGGGTGATGAAAATGCTCTAAAATAGAATGTGATGATTGCACAAGTCTGTGAATGTACTAAAAACCACTGAATTGTACCGTTTAAACTGGTGAATGGTGTGGTATGTGACTTATATCTCAATAAAGCTGTTACCAAAAAAGACATACACCAGAAAATTGTTAACAAGAAAAAAAGAGTAGGCTCTGGCCCTGACATGCTCCCCATCTAACCCTGAGCAATTGGCCTTTATTCCCTCATCTGTAAGATGCAGAGGTGGGGGGGCTACCTCATAAAGGTGTGCTTAATGATGAAGTGAGGAAAACGGCATAAAGCGCTTGAGAGAGCCCCTTGCTCTTAAGAGGTCATGAAGAAAAGCTGCAAAAGCTAGGCGCTATTTTAATAAGGCCTTAAAGGAGAAGGAGGTGGTTACAACAAAGAGACGAAAAGGATGTTCACATCAAACGATTTCTGGTCAAATGCTGAAGCAAAATGAGTTACAAAAAAATTAACTTTTCGGTCTTCACAGCTCTTTGGATTTTGGGATTTCGAATGCCAGCTTGTAGATTTAGAGGAACAGAGAAGGTAAAGCCAATCACGACGTGTCTCGGGGGTAGACATTGTGCTGCGGGAATAGGTGGCGCTTCCTCGGGCTGCTAACAACCAACGGGGAAGCGGGAGGGGAAGAACAGTCACAGCAAAACAGTGATATTCGAATCATCCCTTCTTTCAATGGGGGCTCTGATCAGCCAGGAGTCTAAAATGACTGAGACTGATCCGTCCGACTCAAGCCTGAGAACAGCCTCTCTTTCGAGCTTCGCTGTCGGCTCTCTGCCTTCACGCCACGACGACGTGGCCACAGAAACCCGTGAGGGGCGCTGGCCCGGAGCTCGATGCAGGCGACTTGCCCGCTCCTCTCCGGAGCACACGAGCGGTCAGTGAACTGGAAGGAGCGCGGGCGCCGTCCAGCAGCCCTCGCCTTGCAGCCAGGGTTCCGCGACCAGAGAGGGCGCAGAGGCGCGCAAGGTCACACAGCGACCGCGCTGCGGCGGACCGGGCCCGGCGTGACGGGCTCAGCGGCCGCGGCTCCTCGCTTCCCTCCGCCCGCAGGCCCCGCTCCCGCCCGCGCGGACGCCATCCCCCGCCCGGCCCCTCATGCTCCCTGACGCCCCAGGGCCCGAGCTCTCACCGGCCGGCAAGCCGCACAGAACAGGAAGGCAGCGCGCGGCGCGGACCGCGGCAGCCATGGTGGAGCCGGACAGCCCTGGTCTTCCGCCCGGGGCAGCCTTCCCCTCTGCCTTCCGCGACTGGTCCTCGTCAAATGGCGGGCTTCAACCCGCGGCTGAGTTCTCGAGGCCGGAGGGTCTCGCTGCAGCGGAGGCCAAGATGGGGGATTGTCCGGACAGGCACAGAGTAGGACGAGTCCGGCGCAGCCGCGGACAGCCCCGCAGGGGTCCTCGCGGTAGGACCCGAGGGCGGGGCTTGGGCTGATGGTCTGGTGTGGGCGGGGCTTAGGCTGGTGGCCGGAGTGGGCGGGGCTGGCTCGCACTGTTCCCGCCAGAGACTGCGTAGTGGTCGGAGCTGGCCCTGCGGACACTTCTCACAGATGTGCAAGGTACAGACAAGCACGGAGCGGGTCTGAGTGCAATAACAATCTAAGAGGTGAATAACACAGAAAGGAATATAAAAGAACTCAATGCCATACAGTCGATTCCAACTCGTAGCGACCCTATAGGACAGAGCAGAACTGCCCTATAGCGTTTCCTAGGCTGAAATCTTTATGGAAGCAGATCACCAGCTCTTTTCTCTCGCTGAGCCACTGCTCAGTTCCAACTGCCAACCTTTCCGAGCTCTCAACCACTGCGCCACCAGGGCTTCTAGAACGGAAAATAGAGCTGTTCATATCCAAAGCCAGTAAAGCTCTGAAGCTTATTAGATTCGTTAAGGAAGCACTCATGTCTCCTTAGTGGTCCCTGGGTAGTGCTAATGCTTTGTGCTTGGCTTCTAATGAAAAGATTGGTGGTTCAAACCACTCAGCAGCGCTTGGGAAGACAGGCCTGGTGATCTGCTTCTGTAAAGATTACAGCTATGAAAACCCTATGGAGCAGTTCTAGTCTGTAACACATGGGGTGGCCGTCAACTCGGGCGAATGGGTTTGGGTTTTGTTTTGTTGGTAAGTGTCCTTGTATTTCATATGCACTTATGTGTTCAGTCTGATATCTAGCATTTAGTGACGCACACAGGTCCCAGCCGTGGGTTATGGTTTTATATTCACCCTGGGTTTGGCTTCATACCAACTGGGCCTGCCCACGTGACCCGTGCCCTTTCCCCTGCACCATAAAGGGAAAGACAGGGATGGCTTGTAAGAGTCTAGGAATCCTGCTCAGACAGACCTCTGATTTTTAAGTTTATTATAAGAATTTTCAAGCATACAGGAAAGTAGTGACAAGCTGGATTCAGAGACTATCAACATTGACAGTTGCTTCTATTCCTTTTTCTTTTTTTCTCTGCTGAAGTACGCAACCTATTTCACCCCTCCATACTTTATGATGCATCACATTTTGGGTGGACTTTTTACATATCAAATCTACTAAATTAAAACGAAAAGGATTGATTACTCCCAGTGCTGCTAACCCGTTGCCATCCAGTCGATTCCGACCTAGAGCGACCCCGTAAGGGAGTGGGTAGTAAGACTCACAGAATGGTTGGCTGGGGATGGAGAATTGCTGCCTAATTAAATAATTCATTTGTGGCAGGCTGCCTGCAAAGACGGCTCCAACAGTTTCTTCACTCCCTATATTTGTGTGCCGTTTCTCCCATCAACAGGTAGAATTTATTTCTCCTCTCTTGAGTGTGGGCTAGCCATGATGGTCAAAAAGGTCACTATGAGCCTAAAGTCACAAGGACAGGAAGCAGAAATGTTTCTGCTGGATTACTAGGGGAAATAGTGGGAGTCCCCACTCCCATTTCCACCCCTTGATTCCTGTAGCTGTGAATCCTGGCTATGGGAGAAACAGCACCATATAGTGAATGCTGACTTAGAGAATATACTGCATCTTGGAGGGCATTGCCTCAGCCTACAAGATACCATCACCTAACTGGTACTATAACGGAATCTTCAAAAGCCATCCCAACAGTTTGGCAAGCCATCTCCTTCAGGATGATGGGGAACACGATAAGACCAGCGAATCCAGAAGCATGAACTTACTGCCACACTTCATTTGCTGCGAACTGAGTTCCTCAGTCAAGCAATGCTGCATGGAATACCATGAAGGCAAATAAGGCGTTCTGTAAGTACATGAATAGTTTTGACAGAAGCATTATGGGCAAGGAAGGCAGATTCATATCCAGAATAAGTGTCCATTCCAGTAAGAACAAAGTGCTTCCCCTTCCATGATAGAAATGGTCCAGTGTACTCAACCAGCAGCCATATAGCTGGCTGACCCCCAGGAAGTGGTGCCATGTGGGGGACTCAGTGTTGGTCTCTAATTCTGGAAGACTGGGCACTCAGCAGTGGCTGTAGCCAGATTGGCCTCGGTGAGTGTAAATCCATGTTGTTGAGCTCATACGTAACCTCTACCCCTGCCACTTTGTTCATGAGTCCATTTGGCTGGGGAAGGAGGCTGACTGATATCCACAGGATGGGTCATTCTATCTACCTCATTAAAATCCTCAACTGAGGTGACACTTTGGTAAGCACTCATGGGATACAGTTATCTCACATTCTGTGCCCAACCAGAAGGATCTGTCCACATGCCTCTTCCTCAGACCCCCTTGTCACCAATTTTTTGATCATGTTTCCTTCAAGTTGCTGACCACCCAGCCAAGCCACTACTTATAGCCCATGAAGAAGATACAGATATGTACCTGTGACTGGGTAAAATGAATGACATTCTGCCCACTGGGAGGATTTCACTTCACTACTATGCTTTGGAGCCCTAATAGCACAGTGGTTAAGAGTTTGGCTACTAAACAAAAGGTCAGCAGTTCAAATCCACCAGTCACTCCTTGGGAACCCTATGGGGGCAGTTCTACTCTGTCCTGTAGGGTCGCTATGAGTCGGAATTGACTTGACGGCAACTGATTTTGTTTTGTTTTGTTTTTCCTATCCTTTAGAGCCTTCCCAGAGCGGGGCTACAGTACTGCAGCTGTCCACTTTCAGGTGGACATAACATGAAGAACCATCTCTAAACCAAGTCCAGAATTTTTTCTTCTTCAGGCATTTGGTGGGAGGGAACTTTCTAAGATGCTGTGGGTGGAGGGTGAGAGAGAAGGTAGTGTTGCAGGTAAAGTGGCAATGGGCAGGAGGAAGTCATACAATTTACTTGTGCCTTCAGTACCTGCTCAAGCCCAGTTTCATATATACCACTTCCATTTGATGATGGAGTTCTGCTGTGCACCCCCAACTTTATAGCTTCATAGAGCAGATAACATCCAGTTCATGATGGGCAACTCAAGTCACATGGTAACTTTCTGGCCCATAGTCAAGTATTCAGATTCTACCAAGGCCCAATAGCAACAACAACAATAACATCACCAACAGGTTATGGTCACCTTCCCATAACATCTTGGTAAACAAACTCTTCATGATCTTCCATGAGGATATTTTGTCTATTGGAAGAAACATCAGAGGAAAAATTGCTATTGAATCTCATTGGAAGGAACCTTATCAAATATTGTTAACAACAAATTGTTGTTTTTGTTGTTGTTAGGTGCCATTGAGTCCGTTCTGACTCATAGCAACCCTATATACAACAGAAAGAAACGCTGTCCTGTCCTGTGCGTGCTCACGATCGTTGCTATCTTTGAGCCCATTGTTGCAAACACTGTGTCAGTCCATCTCGTTGAGGGTCTTCCTCTTTTTCGCTGACTCTCTACCAAGCATGATGTCCTTCTCCAGATACTGGTCCCTCCTGATAACATGTCCAAAGTAAGTGAGACAAAGTCTCACCATCCTCACTTCTAAGGAGCATTCTGGCTGTACTTCTTCCAAGACAGACATGTTCGTTCTTCTGGCAGCCCATGGGATATTCAGTATTCTTCGCCATCACCATCATTCAAAGGTGTCAATTCTTCTTCAGTCTTCCTTATTCATTGTCCAGCTTTCACATGCATATGAGGCAATTAAAACTACCACAGCGTGGGTCAGGCACACCTTAGTCCTCAAAGTGACATCTTTGCTTTTTAACACTTCAAAGAGGTCTTTTGCTTTAAAGAGGATTTTCCTAATGCAGTATGTCATTTGATTTCTTAACTGCTGCTTCCATGGGTGTTAACTGTGGATCCAAGTAAAATGAAATCCTTGACAACTTAATCTTTTCTCCATTTATCATGATGTTGCTTATTGGTCCAGTTGTGAGGATTTTTGTTTTATG